TAACGAGTCTTTAGAATCAAGTGGACAGTGCAACAGAACAGACCAAGCAGGTGTGTTAACGGGTCTTTAGAATCAAGTAGACAGTACAACAGAACAGACCAAGCAGATGTGTTAACGAGTCTTTACAATCAAGTGGACAGTGCAACAGAACGGACCAAGCAGATGTGTTAACGGGTCTTTAGAATCAAGTAGACAGTGCAACAGAACAGACCAAGCAGATGTGTTAACAGGTCTTTAGAATCAAGTAGACAGTGCAACAGAACAGACCAAGCAGATGTGTTAATGGGTCTTTGGAAACCAGTGGACAGTACAACAGAACAGACCAAGCAGATGTATTAACGGATCTTTGGAAACCAGTGGACAGTACAACAGAACAGACCAAGCAGATGTGTTAACGGATCTTTAGAAACCAGTGGACAGTACAACAGAACGGACCAAGCAGATGTGTTAACGAATCTTTGGAAACCAGTGGACAGTACAACAGAACAGACCAAGCAGACATGGTAAAGGGTCTTTTTATTTAAACCAGTGGACAGTACAACAGAACAGACCAAGCAGATGTGTTAACGGGTCTTTAAAATCAAGTAGACAGTACAAGAGAACAGACCAAGCAGATGTATTAACGGGTCTTTAGAATCAAGTAGACAGTACAACAGAACGGACCAAGCAGATGTGTTAACGGATCTTTGGAAACAAGTGGACAGTCCAACAGAGCAGACCAAGCAGATGTGTTAACGGGTCTTTAGAATCAAGTGGACAGTGCAACAGAACAGCCAATCGGATGTGGTTACGGGTCTTTAGAAACCAGTGGACAGTGCAACAGAACAGACCAAGTAGATTTGTTAACGGATCTTTGGAAACCAGTGGACAGTGCAACAGAACAGACCAAGCAGATGTGTTAACGGATCTTTGGAAACCAGTGGACAGTGCAACAGAACAGACCAAGCAGATTTGTTAACGGACCTTTAGAAACCAGTGGACAGTGCAACAGAACAGACCAAGCAGATTTGTTAACGGATCTTTAGAAACCAATGGACAGTGCAACAGAACAGACCAAGCAGACATGGTAAAGGGTCTTTGGAAACCAGTAGACAGTGCAACAGAGCAGACCAAGCAGACATGGTGAAGGGTCTTTGGAAACCAGTAGACAGTGCAACAGAGCAGACCAAGCAGACATGGTAAAGGGTCTTTGGAAACCAGTAGACAGTGCAACAGAACAGACCAAGCAGACATGGTAAAGGGTCTTTGGAAACCAGTAGACAGTGCAACAGAGCAGACCAAGCAGACATGGTAAAGGGTCTTTGGAAATCAGTAGACAGTGCAACAGAACAGACCAAGCAGACATGGTAAAGGGTCTTTGGAAACCAGTAGACAGTGCAACAGAACAGACCAAGCAGACATGGTAAAGGGTCTTTGGAAACCAGTAGACAGTGCAACAGAGCAGACCAAGCAGATGTGTTAACGAGTCTTTAGAATCAAGTGGACAGTGCAACAGAACAGACCAAGCATCCATACATTGATATACTAATTCAGCAGGGGTGAGCAGAGGTTCTGGAAGATAATCAAAACAGAGGGAAAAACATAGGCGAACTTTTAATCAGGCTGCAACTGGTACAATTAGCACACTGACTCTTCTTCGGCTACTGAAGAAGGCAGCGGAGCACGTGTGGGAATGTCCGGAGTCAGGATGTCAATTGTTGATTGATTGATTTATTCAGTTTGGTTAGCCTTGGAAAATATTGAACACAATTATACTGCAACATATACTGAGTGAAAAATAACACATGTGGGCGAGTCGTGAATGCCTTACTTAAATTCTGACCAATCGGTATACATCAGAATATATATATATGTATATATATATATATATAATATATATATATATATATATATATATATATATATATATATATATATATATATATATATATATATATATACACTGCATTTTACATTTACACAATATATTTTCCTGCAACAACAATGAAAGAAGAAAATACATCATCAGTAAAATATACAGTGAGAATAAATGGAGAAATGCAAATTAAAAACAAACGAGAAAAAGAAACAAAATATTGAGTAACACAAAACAGTCAATACCTTTTATTTATTTTGAAGTTGATTTTCCATTCTTATCTCAGTTATGAAATCTAGCATACAAAATATCAAGAAAGAAACCCAACTTGCTTGAGTTCAGTCAGTTCCATTCAGAAGTATAAGTGATGACTGTAATAATACTTTACAACTATCATTTAATAAACAAGTATTAATGATAACAAACAAGTTGATGTGGCGTTTATTCTGAATACCAGCCAGTGGTCGTAGGTGGTGATAGCAGTAAAATGATTGTGTAATAAATATCAAATACCAGAAACAATTTCATAACAAATGAACCTTACCAATTCACTTAAGTCCAGTTATGAGTTAGATTATCTTCACAGTACTCTGGACACATCAAAAGGCGCTCAGATTCCCCTTTCAACATATTTATCAGCGCCCTACGGTTAATAGTACCATCCTTTGTTGGTTAACAAGACTTTGTGTGCGTCTGGTGTGCTTCTTGTGCTTGGCTGTGCCAATCATTACTCCCAGTTCATGTATTCTTAGCAGTGATGTGGACACATTGCTTCTAAATTCCTCAGAACGTCCAATGACAACCTCTGCATGATCCATGGGCCGGCCATCTTCAATTAATGCAAATCCTGCCAGTCTATCAACTCTCTCATTACCAACAATGACAGTTTGGTAGCAATGGACTAACAAAATAATTCCGGTGGTTTAGTAACAAACTCTTAATTATCAACTTTGCCATTGGTTGGCTGAAAGTTTTATGGATGATACGAGTTCAAAATCCCAACTGTCATGCAGCTACTTCCAGGTTAAGCTCTAAAAAAAAAATATATTTGCAGCCTTGTTCTTACCCGCATAAGACATGCATGTTACGCCTGGCTTGGGTGGCAGTTACGGGTGCCATAGTTATAACTTCTGAGGTTAAATCTTGGATCTGCCTTGTTGGTCCAGATTTAAAATGTTTAAATCTCAGGGTGATGTAGTAAACTTTTAGACAGCAGACAACAGTGGACGAATTGATCGATCAGTCGAACTGGTATACGTCAGAGTGTCGTTCTTCAGACTTCATAGCAAAGAAAAATTTCCATAGGAGAGATATCTCTGTTATCTCTCTAAACCCAGATATCAGTGTTGTGTGCCTGGCTATTTTAAAACTCCACATCTTCGGAGAGAAATATTAGGAATGACACAGTGTGGTGAGGAGATAAAATGCTAACTAATTTAGGATTTAAAGCAGTCGTAATTTTCTGATTCTTCTCTGCATTATAGTGTGTTTCAGATGTTGTGACCTCACATTTTATCAAGTATCTCAAAAACTCCTGTAAGGATCAATATACATTTTTTGCATGTGACATTAGACTTCCTATATCGTTATGGTTTTATAACTTACAATTGCACAGGTGCTGCTATTTTCTTAAAGTGGTGAATTTCTTTGAACTTTGTTTGACAAACATTTTTTTTATAAAACAACATAAAATTAAATGAATTGAATAAAACTTGGCATGCATTATGTGATTTATTTTGTTAGCATAATGAGCCAATAACATCAACAAAATAACGCCAGATAAATACACCACATAGTCTATAGATTTTTAGTACATATCAATGTAAGCTTCTGTCATGAGAACATCAGATTTACAAAGTGAAATTAACTTAAATCAAAACCTCATTTGATTAACCCGGCTTATGAAAACAAGACATGATTCAGCATTTCTTTACAAATTTGTAATAACATTAATTATTGATGCATTAAAAAAAAAGTGTTTAAAAATGAGAGAATTGACAAAATTGTACCCAGTTTTCTTCCATAATACGCTGCCTCTCTCCATGGAGGGGATGTTTGCCCACTGAGGGAAACACACAAAGCACATAACTCCATAGCTCAAACAGCAACCTCTAGAGATCTTTGAAAAACAGAACGTGTCAACCAAGGGATAGAGTCTAAAATAAATAATGACAGCATTCAGAACATGAGACAAACAGATTTAGCCAGTCAGTTCGGATAAATTCTTCTTTTTCTTCTTCACCTTCACTGGCTGTAACTCCTGAAGAAAGTTCTGGCTGTTTGTCTACTTGTGGATTTTAGTCTTGTTCCAGAACTTGAGTATTGCGTGCAAAACCAGTTTACAGATCTGACTTATTTGTATGCAGATTGTTGGTTTCTTGCCTCCCAGGCAGATGCACTCCGACTTCGATAGAAGTCCCCAGTCAATTGACTCTTATGACATGCTTGTTGGGGAGGCAGTGGGTTTATTCTTGTTTTCCCCCCAATGGAGCCCCAGAACCCACATGGGGAGAAATTAAAATACAATTTTACAGGGTAGTCAACAAACAAACAAAGTCGTAATGTAATGTTAGCTTCATAATCACCTGGCAGGTCCCAAGCAGAGCATCACTCCCATCATGGCAGCCTGTAAACCCACCAGAACCCATGCCACATTTTCTGTCCCGTGAGCATTTATTGCCCACATCAGAAGGAGAAAACTGAAGTACATAGTGACAGCTGGATAGTTTAAGGGGAAGAGGGAAACTGAAAGAGCAGGTGCTGGACTGTTTGACATCACGGTATGGAGGATCATCTGTGCCAGAGCTGGTTAAAAGTAAACAAGACAGAAGGCTGTGGATAGTCATGACTACCTATGCCACGTGACATGGACTTTAAAAAAAAGAAAAGCATTTATGATTAGGGTGTCCTCAACATCCGGTATACAACAGCATGCTGGTATGTTCTGATGAAATATAACTAATAATTCGAAATAATAGTTATGTCCTATATATATATATTGGCAAGAATACAGTACATACAAATTAGAAACTGTACTTTCATTTATCAAAATTGCGAAACAAAATATTAGGTATGAATTATGGTTAACAGCTAGAATAATAATGACTGTATATCAAGAGTCTTCCCTTCGATAAAACTGCAGGCACTATGCAAAAAATCCAGTGAAAGGCAACTTGTGATGACGATCCAAGAGTCGGTTTTTGATTCTGCTGTATTCAGATGGAGCACTCTCTAAGGTGAAGAAACCAAGGTTATCCAGAAGTTCATATACGCCAGCAGGAGCTGCCACCTGGTGATTGAATATTTATAATGTTGAAAATTACAGTTTTAAGAATTTGCATTTTGATTGACTACATCACCAATCAAGTGCCGAAATAAAATATATTTCTAGCCCTATATGCCCAATATATCTGAAAGCATGGAAAAGGGTGCTTTACTTATACTGGCACACCAGGCATACTTACAGTCTCCTTCAGTAAAAATATTGCAGCATCACCATCATCATCATTATCAATTGCCTTGCCGACTGGTGATGGTAATCGTGTCGCTCCATGATCAGCGATCTGCCACCGCATGTTTCAGTTTGTGTGTTGACACTCCTCCATGCTAAACAAAATGTTATCAAGAATTTTCTCTTGCCATGAAGCTTTTTTACTGATAATTCCATTCATAATTACATATTTTAACATTCCTCACATATATCCTGTCTCAACTCCTGATTTACACTACTTTACATATGTTGCTTCATGCAACAGTATTGCTCCCATTAACATTTGTTCAAATATAATTTTTAGAATATCTGCCCTTTACATGTGAAGACTTCCTTTTGCTCTCGACCTGTAGCCCAAAAAAAAAGTTTCTGATTATTCACTGCCTTCACCCAGTCAACCCTGAGAAGAAGAAGAAGAAAAAGAAGAAGAAAAAGAAGAAGAAGAAGAAGAAGAAGAAAAAGAAGAAAAAGAAGAAGAAGAGAAAGAAGAAAAAGAAGAAGGAAAAACAAAACAAAAAAGAAGAAGTAGAAAACAAAGAAGAAGAAGATAACAAAGAAGAAGAAGAAGGCAAAGAAGAAGAAGAAAAAGAAGAAGAAGAAGAAAAAAAAAACAAAGAAGAAGAAGAGGAAGAAAAAAAAACAAAGAAGAAGAAGACAACAAAGAAAAAGAAAACAAAGATGAAGAAGAAGACAAAGAAACAGAAAAAGAAGAAGAAGAAGTACCTCTTTCATCCATTTGGAGAAAGATCGCTGAAATTGTCCATTTTTCTCCAGGTGTAAATACGCATTATACAAGATGAGGTAGAGATATCTCTCCAGAAAATCATAACTCAGTCTGTGCAGTGACTTTTGCTCTTCCCCTGTTCTTGATTTGCTCTGCAAAAGAAAGAAACTTAGATAGACACACCCACAGAACTACATGGAGGGATTAAACAGTATATTTCCTATGTGGATTCCACAGTCTCAATATTTAAGAGGAAAAAGAATAGACTCAGTTCCTCCCCCCACCAACTACCTTTTTTTGACTACGGTGTCCTACAATGTGACTAATTACGGGTGTTTCCTTCGAAGTTGGAGTGCATCTGCCTGAAAGGCAAGGAACTAACAGTCTGCATACAGATAAGCCAGGTCTGTAAAATGGATGTATAGATGAAACTCAAGTCCTGGATCAAGACAAAAGTCTAGAAGTGGACGTAAAACCAGAAATTTCCACTAGATTTTACACCCAGTAAACCTGTAAAATAAGAAGAAGAAGAAGAAGAAGAAACAGTACATCACCAGAACCCAGATTTGCATATGAAGTGTTGAAATCCTGTAAGACAAAATAATAGTTTCCTAAATCACTTTAAATATTCATAAACATAGATTACATAACATAATTATCACAATTATTTAAAAAGTACACTTGAAATGTTAAACTTAAGTATACTCTTACATTTGTTACAATTCAATACATTATCTATGCAGTGTCAAATTACTAAAAGTAATTGACAGTCAGAAATATCCAGTATATATATATATATATATCCAAACCGTAATTCAGTTTGGTTAAACTATATATTCTTGTTTAAATTATGATGAATACTATGATCATTTGATATTTCTTCTTCTTCTTTGCTTTCTTCCTCTGTTAACTCCAGCGGAAAGTTATAGTTGTCTATCTCTGACATTGTAACTTTTTTGTATGCAGACTGTTAGTTAGACTCTCAGGAAGATGCACTCCAACTTCAAAAGAAGAACCCAGTTAGTCAACTCCTGCCACATGCTAGTTGGGAAAACAGTGGGTCTATTCTTATTTTCCCCACCGTGGGGCCTCACAAGAAGAATCTGATTTTTAGAACTGCAGAAAACAAGAGTAACAGTGTTGTTTTCTGTTAGAAATGTCTGTCTTACTTTATTTATCACATTATCCCATATGGCCCTTTCCACAGAACAGACAGCTGCCGGCTGAAAGCGTCACATGATGCACAAACATCATGGCTTCAACGATGACCCCAAGGGATTTGGTTATGTAGTTAGATGCTCTCTTAATATTTATTAAACTGTTTTTCTTCTTCTTCTGTACAAATGCTTATGTCGTGATCATTGCAGAGAGCAGTTAGATGTAGTTTACTGTCTTTTGTTAATTGTGAAGCTTTTAGATTATGTCATATCACATTTCTGTAGTGTATCTTTTACTCCATTCACCCATCTCTTTCTTGGTTTGCCTTTTGAAGCCTGCTGTTCTCTTGTAGTATTGAGTAAAATTATATGCAAAACTTGCAATAAAAACATGCACAGCTATACAAATTGTGACAGCTTTGATCAATTCATAACAGATTAGAATTCATGGTAATCATCTGAAATATTGTCAAATATTTTGACCATTAAAATGAACCGTGATGATCTAAGTCTGTGTATGTCATTAAAAGTTCACTGACCTCTATTTGTTTAAAGATGATTTATTATAGACATACCTTGTTGAATGTAACAAAAATGACCTCTCGCAGATGGAAATGCATAGGTGACATGGTCTCGAAAAGACGATCTAAAACAAGATCTACTTCTCTTTTAACTTGGTGACCTTCTGGCAGCATCCAAACTAATTTTTCTACAACCTGCACATAAGAATAAGTAAATAATACAATAGTGCTAACAATTTAAAAACAACTTTCTTTTATCTTATTCATACAAGAGTTCACTGGCTGTAAACTCTGGAAGAAAGTTCTAGTTGTTCATCCACTTCTGCACTTTGGTCTTGTTCCAGAGTTTTAGTTTTGTATGAAAATTATTTTTCACAGATCTGACTTGTTTGTATGCAGATTGTTGGTTTCTTGCCTCTCAGGCAGATGACTTGAAAAGAAAAACCACTAACCAGTGACCTTTTATGTCATGCTTGTTAGGCAGGTCAGTGTGTCTGTTATTTCGTCCCCTAAAATGGGACCCTTGAGCCTACACAGGAAGGACGTCACTTAATGAATGTTTTTATTCGCTGCCATATACTGGAACAACAGAAAACATCCTGTAAGTGTGTGGAGGGGTGGGGGGAGAGAGGGGGAAGCAGACTAGATAGCCTATAGAACTAAAAGGAAAAATTAAACACTACATTACAAGAACAAAGGTCTGCGAGATGTTAATGTATCCTATGACAGAATATTATTATAGCAGATATGTTTAAAACATTCATAAAGGTAGACTAGAAAATGTGCGTGTCATAATTTCTTTTCTAAAAGTACACTAACTGTGTGCTTATTTTTCTTTTTCCCTTAAAAGGGCCGTTGGCACGCTGTGTTGTGGTTTACAGCTAGGCTGCTATATCTGCGCTATTTGCCCAAAGACATCCAATTTCAGTTAAGTCCCAATTAGCCTTCCCGTGACGCTTCACTCGATCAAAAACTATTCATTAATGACAGAAACTGTTAACTAGGATGGCTTACAGTCCAGTTTAGTTTGGGTGGACACAGATGCCATGCTCAATTAAAAACCGTCCCTATGGAGAGGGAGATATGACGGGTGCAGGTTTTTATATCCGCTATTCGTGAGTATAGTGTACTTTTTTTTTAAATCACAGAATATTACTGTGGGTTCCATCACTGGTTAGGTGATAGAGGTTTTTTTTCTATGTCGGGGGCACATTTACACTGGGGGGGGGGGGGGGGGGGTAAAGGGGGTTTGAACTGAGAGAGCTTAAAACATTATTTAAGAGTTCTCATTTATTAACTATTTCTATTTTACTAATTTCACTAGATGATGATTTTTCAATCTCTCAGAGAGGGTGATATGATTGGGAAGGGGAAGGGGTGTTATGACAGACACTGTTAGCTGAAAAAGCTTAAAACTTTATTTTAAAGTTATCATTTCTTAAATATTTATATTTTTATACGGCTTCCTCTGCTATTCTCATTTTTGTGTGTGCCAGTTTGTTGGTCATTTAGAGGTATATAAGTCAGTTTTACTTTCAGCTGTTCAAGCACAACAGATGCTTTAGCCGCGATAGACGAATATTTTTTTTTTCACTCTAACAATGCACTTTAATTGACCACTAATATAAACATTAATTTATATGTTGCGTGTTCTAGAGTCGGTATATCAGACTATCTCTGTATCTGTGCAATGACCGATATTACCCATATTAGACACGTGTGCTTTCTATTTTCTTTCTTTTCCAGTTCACCATTCTGAGCCACAGCAACGCATGGCTGGGTACAGCTAGTATCTTATATAGCTATAATAGCTGGGTCAATTTATATTATAGTGTTAGTCTATCATCTTGAGCCTAAGGCAGCACATAGAGCAGAGATCATAGCTCTCCATGTCTGGCGGTTCGTTGCCACATGTTTTAGGTCTTGGATGTTTATTAGCAGTTTTGCAGATTAACGAATGTAGCTAAAATTGATTTAAAATAGTTAAAAAGAAACAAACCAGAAATTCTCCTTTGGTATACCCAGCATTAGGGCAGCTAACTCTTTCTTGTTCATCTGGATTGGCACCATAAGGAAAACCCTTGATAATTAGAACATTAAATTTGATTTTCAGTAAAATGTTAAAAAATTTACAAGTTAGGATATTAATTCATGTAAGTTTCGATCTTGCATGAGTAAAATTACATCGTTTATACTTTAAACTGGGAGTCACTGTGGTGTAGTGGCTAGATGCTCCCATGCGGATCTAAAGGGTTCTGATGGAGCCAGAGTTGAAAAAAAAAAGTGACATTGGCTCTCATGTCCACCAGCCTTAAATGGGTACCAGGTAAAGTTCTGGGAAGTAAAGGTGGCTGGTATGATGTTGAAACATCAACCAATGAGTGCTAATTGGTCTATAAAATATAGATCCAGCCCCATATGCCCAATTCAAATAAAGACATGGACAAATTTCCTTCTCTAAAACATTTAAATGATCTTAGTTTTTCACTAGTGACTTCATTTCCGGCCAATCAATTAGGTGCGTACCACCTAAAAAAAATGACAGTTATCATTTTTGTAGAAATAGAATATTAAAAATCATTGCTTAATAACGAGCACACCCTGGCCAGATAAAAAGAGAAATGTGGATGTCTTGAATGAAATAGAATCACGAAAAGAACTGCCTATTCACATTAGAAGGAGACAATCTACATTGTTAGGTCATGTCATGAGAAGGAGAAAACCGGAGTATATCGTGGTGACGGGAAATTTGGAGGGAAAAGAGGCAGAGGGAGACAGAGAGAATATGCTGGACAGTTTGACATCATGGTATGGAAGATCATCCGTGTCAGAACTGACTGAAAGTACATGAGACAGAAGGTTATGCATAGACATAACTACCACACAGCATGGACTCTAAGAAGAAGAAAAAAAATAAGAAGGAGAACAAGAAGAGTTGTTTCATGATTTTCATATACAGTTTTATTACACACTTATATAAAGAGTTTAATTGCATATTGTTTGATCAGTGATGAACAACGATGAAGAGCGCCTGGCTAGGTTAAAAATCTGGGCTCCCATGTGGTAGACCAAGATTCTAATATCCAGTAAGGGTATAAAGTTAAACAAAGAATTTCTTTCGGGGACAATTAAACAAAGAATTTCTTTCGGGGACAAATTAACTATCATTATCTGCACAGTCCCTGGCGACTGCAGTAGTTATGTGGCCTTAAGTCCTCAGGTCCAAGAACACATTGTCCTACGCACAACCCACCCATGCTGGACTACAAGTTACTTTGTAACCGTTTTACGGTGCCTCAATATAACTGTGCTATATGGTTATATGGGGTTTCAGGGTTTGTAGCTGTCTGATTCTCAACCTTAATGATGTTAAATGTTAATCCTACAAAATGCAAATCTGCAGAGGATTTATTTCATATAATTGCTTTTCTATTTTTGTATTTTGGTATAAACCAGTATATAAATTATTAAATGCAACTTCAGGAATGTTTAATATGCCAGTAACATTAGGATTATTTTTTCCCTATGGGAAACGATTAATCATGCTCCCTACACTTCATTGAAAAATTCATTTAATATACGCACTGTCTGATATATGTCCTGGGATCAGGAACGGATTAGGAACATATACCACTGTAGTTCCTTTTGCTAACATATTGAAATCAAATTACTTTAAATTACTTCCGTTCACATAAACATATTTTTTACATAGGTACATATACATACTGTCATGTGATAGAAGAGCAGACCAGCCACAGCCATTGTCAAGGACGTGCGTGACTTGCCAGTTCGGCAGTGGAAAACAAAAGCATGGGAGTTTTCTGTCCAAGATCCCGTTTCCTTCATGTAGTCCAGAATAAGACTTTGAATTGCATCAAACTCCTGCGGGGAAAACGTGTTTTTAAACTAGTCAATATGAATCCTTAGAATTCCTTTAACAGTTAAGAAGAGTAACCCAGATGTTTTGGAGGAGGCAGGTGCTCGAAGACAACTTATCACAAACATCAGAAAGAGAAAAGTCACCATTCTTTGGTCATGATATGAGAAGAGGGAAAATGAAACATGTTGTGACCTCTGGAAAGATTTGTGAAAAGAGAGACAGAGGAAAACAGCATGAGAAGATTCTTGACAGCCTTTTGTCATGGCATAGAGGGGTGTCAACACACGAACTGATACATGCAGTTGTGGCTCGCAGATTGTAGAGAGGCATGATCGCCCATGCCAGTTGGCAAGGCACTTGATGATGATAATGATGAGTAGGAACGCCATTCTACATCAGTGGGAGAAATGAAGAATCACACAGCATGGGAGATACACGGTATCTACAATATTACCAAGACATTATTATAAGAAGAAGCAGTTGCTAGAAAGACTACTTGGCAACAAGTGACGAGACAAGATTACAAATACGAAGATATTAAAAAGAGCAAGTATCACACGTGTTCTCAATGCTCAGTTTTCAAAGACTTAGAACATACTCAAAGGACACACTCAAAGGATGGAGGTCCACAAGGACAGACTCTTTGACGAATTACAGATGGGGAGAATATGCCGAGGTTGATCTCTAGTATGATGAGATGCTGCATGCGAGACATGAACGGTACAGGTGGATTCTTGGAAACAGGGTGATAAGTACCGTGATGCATGGAGAAAGAAAATCAGGAAGTAAGTTGGGATAAAGGTGACAATTATCTGAGAAAGGTTAATTGTCGAGCGTCTTAGAAGAAACAGGTTTAATACATGTCATGGCAGCAATGATGCTGAAATCCTTCTTATTGCAACATCTACAACCCAGTAGACTGTGATTTCCAACGCTTCCTCATTGAACATTGGTTCTCAACCTTCATTATGCCGCGATCCTTTAATACAGTTCCTCATGTTATGGTGAACCCAAGATTTCAATTTTTTTCCTTGCTAAATCATAAATTTAGTGAATATGTGTTTTTCACTTGTCTTAGACGATCCCTTTTGGAAGGGTCATTTGACCCCCCCCCCCCCCCCCCCCCATAGTAGTCATGACCCACAGGTTGAGAACTGCTGTCATAGCACAGTATAGCAATATTATCTGAGAAGATAAAAAGATGCCAGTCACACTATGTTATTGCAATTTTAGGTTTAGTTTTAACTATAACTTCCATCAAGATAAGGAACACTAGACTAGAAAAGGACAAGATAAATGATATTCTAAAACACAATTAACACGGTAAAATTAGTTATCCAGGAGAAGACAAAAAGCAGAGTTTGTAGTTTTCGAAACATTGACAGAATGCAACAAATTATTAAGTTGTGAAATACATCGAGCGATTCAATGCTGTCAAAACCGAATAAATGATCTACGCTGATACATGTTGACCTGTCAAATGATTTCTGAGATAACATTGCTGTTGTTGCTTCCTCTCAGTTTCATCCCTCAACTGTGTCTGCATGTGTGCCTGTTCATTCATCCATCCACTTACCCATTCGCCCTCTGCATATCTATTTGTCTATCTGTGTCTGTCTGTCTATCTACCTGCCTGACTACATATCGACCGGCTGGTCCGTCTGTCTGCCTTTCCACTTACTAAACAGAAAACATAAATGTTATATACATATATATATATATATCACTATAACACTGCAATAGTACTCTCTGCTCAGTCACATCAGGCTTACTTGTTCATGAAGTCCGTGGTCGTACTGTAATGGAAGCCTTGTGTAGTGGAGATCTAAAGTGGACAGTCTCTGCTGATCGTAGAGTTCTTCAGGAGTGAACACACTGACCAGTTCTTTGTCCACTGCGGGGTCGGTTATTTCATTGTACACCTGCACATATTTTCAATATTTAAGTTTGACTCATACGTAAAAACTAAAAAACAAAAAAAATTTTTTGCGTATCCTTCACAGAACGTTGCAGAACCAAGCCCAGCATTTTTTGGATGCTGTCACTGGATAGATTACTCAATAAGAAAATATGACAATAATACAATTAAATTGCTTCTGCACTGAGAGGCCACTGTCCTGGGCTCCAAGGTGATCCGGTTTCCAATCCTTGATAAAAGAACCATTTTCCACCCCTTCAGGTGTATTGGAAGACTGCTAGACTTATATTTTATAGACCACGCGGCAGTCGGTGGGTGATGTGGTCAGCATCATGCAGACCCATTTTAGGCTGGGTCAACCTGCAGTCAAAGGTCATTTTTGGAAAAAGTATGTTTCCGTTCAGATTTGAACATATTACCTTTGGATCCATAGACGAGTGTCTAGGTCTACACTACAGTTGCTCCCTTTTTGGAAGAGTGATTGATTTTTCCAGTCAGGGGAAAAAAATAAACTAGCCCGTACAGTCTATGGTGCCTGCATTAGCCATGCGGCCCTAACATTTCAGCCTTAAGACCACAGGTACTGGCTGTATGTGTAAATGCAAACAGTAAAGACAGTCTCTAAAACTGGGGCATAAAAGGCTACAGAATCAAAGAGAAACCGAGGAAAAACAGAAAAAAAAAAAAACAGAAAAAAAAAAAACAGAAAAAAAAAACATACACTGAGAAGAAAATTAGAGAGTGGAGTGAAAAAGATTGCCCTGGAAGCCTTAGCAGGCCTATGCGATAAGAAGGTACTGATCAAAAGAATCAGTCAATAGTATTAGATTATGCAAGTTTTGAAAATGTTTGGACTTTTTTTTTTTTTAGGCAGAAAGCACTTGACACAAAAAAAAAAAAATTGTTCTTTATTGCTGTTACCTTCCACACTCTCCTAGATCTGATCTCCTTCTTGAATTTCTGCTCCATTTCCTAGAAAACAATAAATATATATTGTACATACACATACATATGTGGACATAAATAAAGAATGACTCATATTTAAGTTTATTCATCATATTTTTCAGGATCTCTCTCTCACACTCACACACGCACGCACGCACATCACACACACACACACACACACACACACACACACACATAGGAATGACATGTACGCAAATGAGTTATTACACTTAAAAAAGTGGCAATTTCTTAAGAAACATTTAAAAGTAAATTAATACAAACATATAAAAGTAAAAAGGTAAGGATTACATGTTCACGCTGTGAGCTGTGTTGTCCAAATGTTACTGGCTCCTTAGTTTAATAGATTAACTCTTTAACCACCAGACAATTCACCTAGCGTTTTCTAGTGCTGATAAAGATAATGTTATGTTCTCGCGGTCTGTTTTCACAGACGGTCATTATATTACCCATTTGTATCCGAATTATCAGTTTAACAACTTTTGCCCCAAATAGTGTCTCTGTTGAACTCACTCAGACGGGAATATTAAATGATTGAAGCTCAACTTATTAGAACAAAAGGGGTTAACGTTACATCTGCTTTGGACTCAAATAGATAATCAGCTCTGAGCTGATTACATTTTTCAGTATACACACAGTATGATATAGGAGTTGCCGTGGTGTAGGGCTAGACGCTCACCTACGGATCAGAAAGTCTTGGGTTCAGTCCTAATGGAGCAGGATTTTATTTCTTTAAAAAAGAAACTGAAAAAATGACCTTGCTGCCAGGTTGACCCAGCCTTAAATGAGTACGAGCTAAGGTCTTGAGAAGTAAAGGTCGCTGGCATGACACCTACCACATCACCGACCACATGCCGATCAGTCTCTAGAAAACCACGGCCATCTTTAGCTATAAATCTAGAGTTGGCGGTGAGAAAACACAGGTCTAGCCCTGTATGACCAATATGACTGAGGGCATAAAAAAGTGTTCTTTCCATAGAATAGATTGCCATCTGTTGAAAGCTCAGCACAAAACATGCAACTAACTATAGCTCCACGACTATCGAAACATCTGACCTCATAAACCTGAGATCAAGGACAGTAACCTAACCCAAGACCTTCAGAGCGTGAGGCAAACAGACATAACATTTCACCGCTCAGGCTCAGCCCTCCCCCTCCCCCCTCTGCCCCAACCCACTTTTCTACAACATGGTGGGTCTTAGGTTCGTTTCCCCTTGTTCACAGTTGCAGTTTTTACAGACCTGGGCACAAAATCCTTCATCTTCTATTTTTCTGCCAAAGGTCATGATCGAGGATTATAAAAAGCGTCTGCTAACCTTTAAGCCACAGAGCTGTACATAAGTTAGTTTTGTATCCTTTACAGGACGTTACAGAACCATCTCTAACATTTTTTGGCTTTTGTGGTTTTTCTAGGCAAATTTTACGTTCAGTAGTTTGCTATGACTTTCTTAACCGTCAGCTCTCGGCACCACTGTCAAAACCAATGCAAGACAAACCGTCTGTCTGCAGCTGGGATCAAACCCGGCACTCCCACATTACGAAGCACGTTCACCACAGAGCTGCACATAAAGACCTTTAAAACAAACTTTGTGGTGAGGGGTCAGGCTCTTTGCCTCCCAATTTGAAGGTCATGGGTTTTATTCATGGACGCCTTGCTCAGTTCATGAGTGCAGTGTTTACAGAAATTCCTGGGGATCGTTCCCAGAGCTACAGAGTTTGTGCTCTGTGCAGCCCACACAGTGCAATGAAGTCAATTATATCGACTTTAACCCAGACTTGACTTAAAACAAGCATTTATTCAGGCAAACTCTAGCAATTTTTACCTCCATTTCTTTCCCTGAAGAGGCCGGAGAGTAAATTGGTTCTGCAAGAAATGAAGCATCCCTCACTGAGTAGGTCACATCGTCACACTCCAGCACATAGTCCGATCTGAGGTTAATGACTATTACATTTATGTAGCCTTGTTTGTGTTGTAGCAGTTGATTGACAACTTTAGATAAGCCCTGGAAGAGAGATAATTGTGTTGTAGCAGTTGATTGACAACTTTAGATTAGCCCTGAAAAAGAGATAATAGTTCATATTATTTTATATTTATTGAAGTGGTAATATCGTGAACTCTAGACAATAAATAAATACTGCACCAGTGTTGCCATACAGAAGATCCAGTTGTATTTATCAATTTGAATTAGGTGCCAGTTGACTTAATTTGGTCGAACGGAGAAAAAACTTGAAAACAGAGTGGCAAAATATGTACCCAAATGGCTTCATGCAAAGCTAACTGAACCCACAAGGGTTTCAGAGTCGATACCAAGGAAAAAACCCAACTATTCTTTATGCTTTCATTTGCTTGAGGTTTGAGGTTTTGAACAATGAATCAACATCATGACACACGGGTAGTAACCCATAAGTGCTCTGTTCTTCTTCTAACTCAAGTCCAAAGACGTTTAGCACAGTGAACAGCCTCTGTAGCACCGGCGAGGATCCTGAAATATTTTTAAACTCCAAATTTTAGCCTTTGGGCTACTCTTTTCAATTTCCAACTGCCTAAGAATTTTTTATGTGCGCAACAATACACACAGGGCGTCCAATCTCACTATCCAGAGACTAGGAGAAATTACTAGAAGTCTAAGTCCCAGCCTTTACCGGGGTTTGAGCCCGCAACCTCTAGCACTCGAGACGGACACCATGCCTTGAGATCACACAGCCCCTTCTATCACTTGCTTAAATACGTCCCTACCATGTGCTTCCTGAAGGTTGGCAGATTTCTAAACATCAAGTCAACAAGAAGAAGAAGAATAACAAACAACCGAAAAAACTTTACTTTCGAAGGGTCATAATTTGGGCATGCAAAAGAAGAAGAAGAAAAAGAAGAAGAAAGAGAAAAAAAAGAAGAAGAAGATGATGATGATGATGAAGAAGAAGATAAAGAAGAAGAAGAAGACAAAGAAGAAGAAGAAGATATGGAGGAGGAGTGAGGATTATGATGATGATGATGATAACTATAATAATAATAAGAATAAGAAGAAATTCTCAACTAGTGGACATTAGAAAACACTTCAAAAACAATGGTTACGATCGCATGACCAGTTCAGTCTCTACAAATGGCAAGCAATGGCAAACTACCTTATTTAACAATGCAAAGAAAAATCCTGCATCCTTGGTGGCAAAATATCGAGCTTGGCAAAATTATATTGGAGTCACACAAACATAGACCTGATCCATCATTCTTGTGAGTGTGAGAGACTGTGAGCCTTTTCTCAAACTTACAATCTCGCACAAAACAATGATTAATGTTGGTGATTGTGGTGACACATTGAAAAATACACTTGTTACAAGAGCAGATATTCTGTCAGAAGTGAACAGTATCTAATGTTTATATACATACATCTTACATTTCTTGTTGGCTGGGCCATGCCATAGATAGGAAGTCCCATGAGTCGGCGAAAGTTGGAGACTTTGACTTCCATTTGGGAGCTTAACACATCCAGTCCGATGTATTCATCAGAGACCTAAAGTTAATAATAGTAGTAATAATAATAATAATTTTACAAAGTATGTTGATTTTTACAATCTGGTTCACAATAAAACAATTCATGCCTTTTTTCATTAAATATTTAATGTATGATACAAATTCACCTTATTATCACCCACAAGTTTGGCAACTATGAACTTCTTTTCACAGCAGGGAAAAGACAGAAAATGTAATATTATCTACATGTAATATGATCTACAGCTCTTTCCAAAACAACACTATATGGCTTATAAAAGGGGAAGAGAAGAAGAAGCAGACACAAGAAAAACACGAATACAGAACTTGACTGATTGCACAGGCCTCAAACAAGCAAACGTAAAGTCCACTGCATCTGACTGACAGTCAAAAAAACAACTGGTGACCCAACGAAAAGCTGTTTTATTGGACTATGATGATGATGATAACTAGTTATGGACTCTGTGACTGAAAGATTAATGAACGCGATTAACAGTCTTCGATGTATCAGCATTCAATTTCATTGGGAGCTGTTTCGTAAAATAAGCCCTCGTCTTGCGGTTTTCCCAAAGTGGTACCAGCTGTGGCACCATGGAAACGATTGGTACCTGATATCTACTATTTCCAGACAACAGTGGTTACGCATGCTTCGTACCCCTGTCTAGGCTGACAGACATGCGTGCAGCATGGAGCTGCAAGAAATTAACATGTCACCATGGGAAGTCATCAGCCGTTGTTTTGCACTTGTGGAGCTTTCGAGGAGAAGATCAAAGAAACTATGGATCTGTCATGATTACTGTGGTGATAATCCTCACTAATTAGGGCAGCCAATCCACACTGTAGAAAAGACACAAATATGAAAAGATAAGTTCAACATATTTATATGCCACTAAGACCAATATTTTCAGCGAATACCAGCACATCATGTGTGTTCTACAGCTCTGTGGTAATTGTTTCCAGATATCCAACCAGCTGGGCTCGTTTCATTGACATCAACTTCCAGATCTACTATATCTTAAATAAGTGAAAGGAAAAATCTTTGAAAGTAAATGAGGCTGGAACGGTATTGACCGCGTCATTCATAGAGTCCAGAATAGTCTATAAAAGTGTGGGATAGGCACTGTATAAACTGTCTGGTCCACTCTATAAAAGGGTTAATGTACTTAACTTTTACTTATCTGCTACATGAAGCTAGCACCTGGGCTTGGAGGTTCAGGCACCTTAGGCACTAACCTCTCGCCCAACAAAATTTTTTTAGGTGCTGGGGATGGGAACTGAACCAAAACAGATGTTGACTAGCATGAAAGTAGAGAAAAGACAGTAGAGACATCGTAAAACAGATGCACACGCAACACTCAGGTTCTGGAAAAGGACTGCAGTCCAGAAGTGGATGGACAACCAGAACTTTCCGCCAGAGTTTACAGCTGGTGAACGCGAAGAAGAAGAAGAAGTAAAGACATTTAAGCATAAAATATACCAAGCATGACAATGAAGAAATATGAATAAGCGATACTAGAATACCCTCAGCAAAAAAAAAAAAAAATAAATAAATTATGGATGTCATTTATAAAAGCGGCGATAACACTAAAGACAAATGTTTTTACTTCACATACCAAAACTCTCTGTTGGGTTGACAACAAAGATGGGGGTGCATACATCTCTGAAAAGTCCAGTTGACTGCATAAACGAATGACTTCTGGATTCTGATGGAGCCATTTGTTATATGTCCAGTTCAGGTTGTTTGGCATCTGAGAATTAAACAGTACAAATTGTTTCTATATATTCTGTCAATATCTGACTGCATGCGACGACTGACATGTTGAGAAAAATTAATGCTAAATTGTCTTACTCAGCTGGGCACTGAATGACTTGCTTGCGGTCTATATAACGGATAGGTTGGTTTACTGTTTTAGTCCTGGTAAGTGTTGTTGCATTTTCCACAAAATGTTTCTTCTTCTTCTTTGTTTACTGGCTGTTAGCTCCTGTAGAAAGTCCTGGCTGTTCGCCCATTTGAACTTTGGCTTTGTGGTAGGGCCTGAGTTTTGCACGTGCATTCATTTTAATAACTTATTTGTTTGCAGTTGGTTGTTCCTTGCTGTTCGGGCAGATGCATTCCGACTTCGAAAAAAAGCCTTAATTAGTCGACTTCTACGACATGCTTGCTAGGGGCCAGTGCGTCTAATCTTGTTTTCCCCACAATGAACCCCAGAACCCACACGGAGACCATAATATGTAGAGTGGAAGGATGTAGTTTCGCAGCCTAGCTAATGTGCTGAGTGCACGGTGTGACACTGTAAGCTGCAGATTTCATTTGGAATATTTTCGACTGTGCCTAACGTGGTTTGTTTTATTGCAGATTTAAGCGAGTAGCCTGTTACCAATGAACATGTAGCGCCCTATGTGAGTAAATGTATGTGGAACTAATGATTTGTTATAACTGCCACTTCTTTCGACGATGAACTGCATTCTAGTATTGGACTGTTTGTGTTGGCGCTTCTAACTGCTGCTTCACGCATTTAATGCGCGTGTACGCTGTTGGTCAGCGTCTATGGCTTAGGCATTGCCATAGCGCTTCGTAATGCCTGGGTGCCGGGTTCGATCTCAGCTGCGGGCCCTCTGCCTTGCATTGGTTTCAACAGTGGAATCGAGAAGCCCACCGTCCAGAAAGCAATGGCAAACTACTGGACGTAAATTTGCCTAGAAAAACCACAACAGTCAAAAAATGCTGGGGTTGGTTCAGCAACATCCTGTATGTTGTTGGAATTGCTAAGACTGCAGTTTGTGTCAGTTTGCTTCACAAGGTACAGTGATGGACATTCTGTGTGGTTCTACTTGGCACAGGAAGGGAGCAACTATACACGGTGACCAGTTTGTTATGAAGTTGAAACTGCAATACCTGATTACCTGAACGAACGAACAAACGAACGAACGAACTTTATTTTCAAAGGGTTACAAATTAGGCACGCAGGCCTGTCTTACATTCGGCCCTTCCAAACTTCCATCTGATATAATTTAACCAGCTTCTTGGAAAAAGGCAACCACTGACGACCTAGATTCTCCACTGATCTCTTTTTTTTTTCATGTTTTGGTTGAGTTTATTTTATCATTCGTTTTCTGTATGTTTTTTTTTCTTCCAAAAATTGCACAGTTCTTATTTTTGTAATCACTGTCTATGGAGTTAATGCAACATATACTGATATAGTGTGTCTTTTTGTTGGTTAAATTACTCACAGTATTATGAGAAGCATTCGTTTTCTGTATGTTTTTTTTTCTTCCAAAAATTGCACAGTTCTTATTTTTGTAATCACTGTCTATGGAGTTAATGCAACATATACTGATATAGTGTGTCTTTTTGTTGGTTAAATTACTCACAGTATTATGAGAAGCATCTGAGTATCAGGAAATGACATCAAAAAGTGTTGAACAACCACATTCGAAATATTTGCTACGGTTAATGAACATATGCTCAACCAAAAATACTACTTATTCAGTAGTTTACACCATTATAGGTAAGATCAATTACTAAATAAATGGTATATAGCAGTGATATTCTAAACAAATGGTTACATGACACTTAAAACATGATGTAATACACACATTTAATTACAGTGGGCAAGTAAACATTTTTTTTAAAAATGTAGTCTTTAAACATACACCTTATAGACGGCTGAGGCTGGACATGATTACCAAAACATTGTTTTTCCCAAGGTTAATTAGGATAATGTAGACAGAAAAAATATACATTGCACTGTTTATTGTCAGGCATATGTTTGCTTATATTGTCAGGTGCATTTGAACCTCCGGTGATTAGACGAAAAATATACCTACAGAAACCCCATAATGTGTATGTTAGCGGAAGTAATTCAGTTTGAATCCCCGTGTAGGTGCCGGGGCCCCCTTTTTTTGGGAAAAGCAAGAATAGACCCACTGCCTACCCAAAAGCATGCTGAAAGAGTAAACTAATTGGAACTTCCCTCAAAGTCGGAGTGCATCTGCATGAGAGGCAAGGCACCAACAGTCTACATTAAAATGAGACAGATCTGTAAAACGGATATGCATGCAGCTCTCTGGTTCTGCAACAGGACTTAGTCCAGAAGTGGGCGAACAACCACAACTTTCCGCCAGAGTTTACAGCTGGCGAACACAAAGAAGAAGAATTCAGTCTGTTGTGCTTCATGATATGTTGATGTGTCTCTGTAGGAAGGTATCTGACAAGATACAACGAAATATGCCTGATAATCAATTGTGCAATGTCTTGATTGTGTCCACATTATTTAAAGGATAACCTAAGCCCTGTGGCACTGACTGTTGGAAGATGAAATTAATCGGATTTAAAATCAGACACAATACATATGCTTACCTGATCTTGAAGATATGCATTGAATGAAAGCAAGAAGCAATATGTTTCCAATGCACTAACGCACTTGAGATAAAAACTGTCGTTTGTATCCAAAACCTATAAAGATATGTGTGCATAAAAGAGATTTGAACTTACATGTTTGTGAATTAAAAACCTTAATTCTGCTAACAATAAACATTACTTCTACTAACAATAGAGACACTTTTGATAATGAAAGAACTAATACATGTTTAAGTCATGAAGACAAAATCATTAAGTGCCTTCAGTCATTAATTCATTGTCATGTTGTGTCATTACATGTTATATAGGGCTTATAGTCTTTCGTTCATTTCATTCTATCCCATGCTGTCAGTTCCCATTGTGTCAGTTCAATATCACGGATGGAACCCAGAAGAGCAGTTTTTTTCCCTTTCTCATCTACATTTGTTTGAGCGTTGCTTTTGAGCGTTATCATCTTCTTTCTCCGTTTATTTCCCATTTAAGTGCCTGCTTGGTGATTCCCTGCTCGTTTCAACAAGTGTCTTGGCAACTGGTACTTAAGATATAGTCTTGAAAATATGAAGGGAGTAATGTAGCTAAAACAAACATAAATAGAACACGATGACATGGAAATAAGGGGAAAGCCGTGTTAGCTCAGTGGTCAGGACGCTTACTGTTAGCTCAGTGGTCATGGACTGGATTCTTTCTCGAACGTGAGTTTTGAATAAAACTGAGAATTTCTGTCAAAATGGAAGCTAGCAACAGACACTGATTTGAGTCGTAGTAAATTTTTGCTGCTGCCAGATGGTGGCCGTAGCATTTTTGCTCAATTTGTAGACTGAAAGGATATAGTTTCGTTGCCCAGCTACTGAGCCCAGTAAATGGTCTGACCCTGTGAGTTGCGGATTTAATTTTGATTTCGTATGCTTTTAATTCACGTGTAATGCTAGTGCATATGCTGAGAAAGCAGTCTGTCAATCTTTCCACAAGGGACTGTGATGAATATTCTGTGTGTTTTTTCGTTGGCACAGGAGCGGAGCAACTATGGGGTGACCCGTTTGCTATGAAGCTGAATCTAACATTACCAAGACATTACCATGTCTCAAAATCTTGTTTTCATCTATGGAAGTGAATCACGGACAGTTGGACAGTTTTCCACCCTCACTATATACTCTAGTTTTATCCTTCTCATCACACAACAAAGGTTGTAGATTGTCTCCTTCTGATGTGGGCAATCAGTTCTCTTCAGAATCACAGTTTTTTTTTAAAAGACATCTTCGTTACTCTTTTGTATCCGTCTACGGTGTTATCATTATTCTCTTATAAACAACATCTCCGCCACTTCCATATAATTGTTCGCAAATTGAATATGATTCACTTTCATATATCAGGAAATGATTTATATAGCTTCTTGCGAATTCGCTTTCTCACCGAAACTGACAAAGAACGATTTGTGTAGAATATTCTTTATTTGTAAAATGCTGTAATTACAAATATACTTGTCTCTAGGATGACTGTTAGTTGTTTGATTTTTCACACGAGAAATGAAAAACGAGAGTACGCCATGACACCAGTAAAACTGGAGGAGGAGGGGGATGGAAACGAAGTGAGACGATGCTAGTTAATTTAGCATTATGGCATTAAAGAATGTCTGTATCTGAAATTATTCACAGTGCACGGGACAGAAGATCGTTGAATCTCCGTGTAGGTTCAAGGCCACAATTTGTGGGAAAACTAACAGACCCTTATGCATGTCGTAAAAGGCATGTGTTGGGTCAAAAGGCGAAGACTTAGCAGCCGACTTGTAAGCCGTAACACACCATGCCAACTGCCCTTTGAAGAGCCGATAAGAAGAAGACCCTGGACACATTTGATTAGCCCCGCCTCACAACATGGACGGTAATAGGAAGACATTTCACATATTACATGTTCAACAACTTACATTGCCAACGCTGCTTGCAGTCAATGCCTCCAGCCGCTTCTTGTGGTCGGCTATACATTTTCTCAAGTTGATGACCTCTGAGCAATGGTTGATGACTGTATCAACCTTGTAATAAGGAAGAGGCCATGGCAAAAAAAAAAAAAAAAAAAAGTCAACAGAACACACAGACAAGATTTCGCTATCACCCACAAACACAAGCACTTGTATACTCCGACCTATTTATACATACATGCACACAGACACGCACAGACACGCACGCACGCGCGCGCACACACACACAGAGTCCAGAGAGGGTACATCCACTGTTACTTAAGCCTAATTTTTTTGGGGGGGGGGGGGGGGGGGGGGGGGGATACATTCACTGTTACTAAAGGCTTAATTTGGGAGGAAGGGGGGGGGGGGAAACAAAGATATATCTACTGCTCCTTAAGGCATAATTGTTTTTTTTTGGGGGGGGGGGGAGTGGGGGAGGATACATTCACTTCTACTTAAGCGTAATTTGGGGGTTGGGGGAGGGAGGAAGGATACATCCACTGCTTCTTAACAAGCATGTTGTAAAAAGTGACCTATTAAGGATTTGCTGAAATCGGATGTGCCGGATCAAAATGCTCAAATAGCACAATCTCGTTGTAAAGAACAAAATACGTACCAAATTCCATGTTAAAGGTGAACGCTGACGCAAAATAAGAAAAAGAAAAGAAGAAGAAGAAGAAGAAGAAGAAGAAGAAGAAGAAGAAGAAGAAGAAGAAGAAGAAGAAGAAGAAGAAGAAGAAGAAGAAGAAGAAGAAGAAGAAGAAGAAGAAGAAGAAGAAGATTGTTCATGATTTATTTGTACACACTAGGAGTGGCTCCAGTTAGCTCTTGAAATATAAAAATAAAACCTTTCTCACAATGAGACACGCCGCACTTCACTGGCATTTCAGCACTTACACGAATGACTGACAAAATAATCAGCACTCTTAGGATTCCTACTTCTCTACACCTCAGGGTAGAAGAATTCATTACAGACAAAAGCGGTAACATTCATACATAGAAAACACTGATATTTTAAACACAAAATGTTATTGCATGAGCAGACTGTAGTAAATATAAACAGGACAGGCAAATACAGACTGCTATGATATAAATGTTCAAACAGAGCGTTAGTTATCAGGTGGATGTCCTTATCTGTGTCCCAGAAATGCTAGTTAATGTCATAATAGAGGATCGGCTGGTGGAACAACTAGAACCTTGAGCTCTCAAGCGGAAGATCCAGGTTCGTATCATCGGTAAGGTCATTTGTATTGTTATGTCAGGGGCCAAGGTCAAGTCCTAACCTGCACAATCCGTGGCGACAGCACTAGCCATCCGGTCCAAATCTTCAGACTCAAAGACCCTCTTTCTTCCCTCTCTCCCAACCATTGTAAATCCCAAAAGTGCTAAATACGTGCAGTAATGTCAGTTTTGACAAAGCCACGATAACGTGTGCAGTTCGTTAAAATTAACGCCAAAACCAACATAATTCTTCTTGAAAGGCAAAGCAGTAATTCACTGTTGTAAAGTTGAAGATAGAAGAAACGAACAAGAAAGTTTACAGTTTATTGCAGGTCGTGAACCTGCTGCCTTGGTAAAACAGGCAGTTCGAGTGAATGTGATGGCAAATTTCAAATACACGGTAATATATTACACTGCTACTGCAGCACGCACTTGATGAGATATAGCGGAATACACCAGGTAATAAACTGCACAAATATTCTCTTTCTGTGTTCTTTATTTAATTTTTCTTATTCACTCTTTTAACCCTCGAAGGCTACATCTGTTAACGAGCTAATTCCTAGAATTCCTAACATATTTTTTGCCATCGCGAGTAACCCACATGACGTTTTCCCTATCATTTGCACCTTAGTTTTGAATTCTCTTATCAGTGTCAACTTGGCTAACGTTATTGTAGTTTATCCCCTGCCTGCTTTCCCCCTGTTTATATATTTTATTCGCTGTCTCAACTTCTCAAACGTGTTTGTAGTTTATCTCCCGTCTATTTCTCTTCTGTTAGGGTAGTTTATCCCCTCTCTGCTTCTCACATGTTTAAATAGTTTATCACCTCTCTGCTTCTCACATGTTTAGATAGTTTATCACCTCTCTGCTTCTCACATGTTTAAATAGTTTATCCCCTTGTCCAATCTTCTCATGTTAATGTAGTTGTATTGTCTACTTCTCTTCCATCAATGTAGCATACCCTTTGTCTACTTCTCGTCTTCTAATGTAGTTAATTCTGTATCTACTTCTTTTTAATTTAGTTTATCTGGCGTCTGATTCTCACATATTATCGTAATTTAGACCCTGTATACCTCTCTTCCTACATGCGCGACTGCATCTCGTATAAATGAGATTAAATTAACGTGTTAGTAAATTAGTTACAGCGTTTAGAATACATTAGTTAAAAAACACTAAGCATTCACTCTGTTATATTTGTGTGTGCGTGTGATCTGCAATAATTATCAACAGGGTATCAGTTGCTATACTTTTGTATTTCTGTCATTTAAATAATTTACTGGCAAAGTCAGAATGTGCAGTCGGTGTGCTGTTGATCACATCGACAGTCCACTGCCGATTGTCTATAAACGAATACAGCCATAGCACTGTATTTTTTATGTGCCACTGTTGTGAAATTAATGCTTATCTTTGTTTTCAACAAGTTGAATACGAAAACATGACGTTGGAGAGAACGCTACGCTGTTTATATATACGAAGCAGAAATATGGAGATCAAGGAATAACATTATTGGTAAACATTCATTAAACAGAGGGAGTTAAATGTTATTAACAGAATAATTAATCTGGAGCCTTGGGAAAGAGCTAATCATATGGAAATTAATCAAGAGGCAAGGAAAATACACTGGGACAGGAAAGAGCATATATTGAGATGGAAATTTAAAAAAAAAATACAAAAGGGTAGAGTTTTCATAGCGCTAGGAAATGTGTGGAACACAAAGGCAACAAGTCTAAGTGTAGAATATTTTAAACTATTGTCAAATTACCATTGCTATGAGGAGAAGATTAAAAAAAAAAAATTTATAAATTATAAATCTTCACTGACTAGACAATAAACCGATTAAAAGAACATATACAAAGTATAAAGTGAAGCTTTGCGAAGGATCTCGATTAATTAAAAGGACAGGAAAAGATGCTGCCGATGGATAGGCCACGTATTAATAAACTAACAGTACCTTAACTAGAATATCCTTGCACATAAAAATAGAAGAAAAGAAAACATACGCATGCGCTAGCGCCTACCTACAGTGTTTAGAATTAGAGGCTAGAAAAAAGATGAGGAGGATGGGGGTGAACCGCACGCAATGACAAAGGATTTAACCACTTGTCTGGTGTTGGCTGAGGGGCTTTGTTCCGCTTGGGGATTAAAGACAGAAGAAGGAAATCAATTACAGTTCTCTCTTTGTGAGCTCTATCTGTATCTTCTTCATCCCGTTGTTGACATACAAGGCATTCAGATTTGACCTCCATTGCTGCCAGTCTGCTGCTTTTCTGTTTACAGTTAAGTTGAGTTGAGTTGATTCAAGAGCCAACATCACAGCACTCGGGGCATTCCCATAGGCGCTCCGTCCCCTTCTTCAGCGGCCAGCACAGAGTTTCAGCGCCAATGGTGCCAGTAGTATTCTGATTATACGCCCGTCTTGCCTTTCCTCTGAGTGTCGAGTCTCGGCCGGATCCCCTCGTGACTCCCCGCTGCATCCATTTGCTCCTCCGAATTGAACGTTTACCAGGGTTCAAATCCTGCGTTGTAAAGTTTAGAAACAGACAGTTCTTGTGCCCTTCAATCGTTGTTAAGAGAGTCGCACAGTGGAAGCGATTTGGGTCTCATCTCGTAATATTCCAACAGTTATCGTGGATATTTTTGCTAAAGTCTATTGTAAAGACAGCACCTTTTTTTTTAAAAGACAAAATGTGGTGGGTGTGTGTGTGTGTGTGTGTGTGTGTGTGGGGGGGGGGGAGGATGGAGAATCTTCGCAGGATTCTCCTCTAACATATATTACCATACTCTTTCAGACTGGGGATTGAACAAGGGGTTGACAACACAGTAAGTCAAACAGTAAAGGACCCTCTTCCACGCCCTCGGGCATGTTGGGTATATAGGGCTAGACCTATCTTTTATAGACCAAACAGCTCTTGGTGGGTGATGTGGTCAGCATGACGCCGGCCGCCTTAACTTCCCAGGACTGAATCTGGCACCCACCCAAGGCTGGGTTGACCTGGGAGCCAAGGTCATTTTCTTCCGATCCGCAGACGAGCGTCTAGCCGATAGACCACGGTGACTCCCCCGAAAAGCCAGTACAGTTAAAAAAAATAAAACAGTCGCTTGCCAGGGAAACTATTCGTCTCTTCTGTGACAAATCTGTTTTCCTCCTTCTCTTCCTCCAATGACCTATTAAAAAACAGACTTGTATGTAGGTCCCGATTCAAACTTGATTAGGCCCTAAACTATATAAAGCTCTGAGGTCCATACCATTTTAAATTACAACAGCTGATCTCAGAAAACCTTAAAATGTGTACCCCTTTTAAATATATGGATCCCCGTGTGGGTTACGGGACCCCATTGTGGGGGGGGGGGAACTAGAACAGACCTACAGCCTCCCCAACAAGCATGTCGTAAAAGTCGATTAATTGGGGTTTCCTTCAAAGTCGGAGTGCATCTGCCTGAGAGGCAATGAACTAACAGTCTGTACACAAATAAGTCAGATCTGTAACACTCAGATTCTGGACCAAGTCCAAAGTCCAGAAGTAGATAAACAAACAGAACTTTCCGCTGAAGTTTTTAGCCAGTGAATGCCAAGAAGAAGAAGAAGAAGAAGAAGAAGAAGAAGAAGAAGAAGAAGAAGAAGAAGAAGAAGAAGAAGAAGAAGAAGAAGAAGAAGAAGAAGAAGAAGAAGAAATATATGGATAATATTGTTGTTTAACTTTTATATGGGAAAAAAAAGTGATAATAAACAATGTGTGTGCACAATCACGTAAGTTATACACTCCTCTAGAAGCTCTAGAAAATGTCCTCGAGAAAACAGTTAATAAATATGTTAAGAAAACTGCATTTAAAATACATTAAAAGGACATTTGAGTTGGCTAACCCCCCCCCCCCCCCACCCCACAAAAAACCCCAGCCACCCTATCCCCATAAATTAATAATTTTAGGTCCCAACAGATTGTGAGGCCTTACATTTATTCATAACAATTAACTTGTAGTTAAATCCGGCACTGTATGTACGTGTGTGGGTATCTGTGTGTGTGGTGTGTGAGCATTTGTGTGTGCATGTACGTGTGTGAGTATGTGTGTGTATGTGCGTTTGTGGGTTTGTGTACAGACGTTATGGGTATGTGTGTGTATATTTGTGTGTGGGTGTGTGTATATACGCGTGGGAGTGTGTTTGTACCTGTGTGTGTATATATGTTGGTGTGTGTGTGTGTGTGTGTGTGTGTTGTAGAAGGGGGATGAAAAGCTCTCCTGCATGCTTTTCTGATGCCATATATATATTATATATATATATATATATATATATATATATATATATATTATATATATATATATATATATGTATTGATTTTCCTTTACTAAGGTTTGAGGTATAAAGGGCACACGGGTAGTAATCCATTAATACTCTGTTCTTCTTCTAACTCAAGTCTGAGTCGAAAGAAGCTCAGCACAGTGCACAGGCTCTGTAGCAACTAAGAGGATACT